TATGCTGAGAAATAAGAAACTAAAACCCATCTCTCTAGCATTACGAGATAGAAAAAACAACAAATCATCAACCCAAGTGCTGAACTTGCCCATCGCTTCACTGCGAGGCAGATGACCTGTGGAGAAAAAGGATCACCAGAAATAGATGACGCACCTTTATATAGCAGTACAAACATGGGCCAGCCTGTGTTCAGCAAATTCAAAATCACTCTCAACTTGCACGGGAACTTCAAGGTGGCACCAAACCCTGAACTCTTCGGTCTAGTCATACGGTGCAAAAGACATACCCAACACATCACAGCACAATCTCAAGCCAGACGAATAGTGTTTGTACTTTTGTATTGATGCGGAAAATCAGCTCGGGGCAAAAAACCTCCTCCATCACGTGTGCTTGCATCTATGTTCTAACAAAAAACATCTTTCCACAGGAAAACAAGACAATGCCTACTGCCACTTGCCTTGTCTTCACTCCCCCCATTTGCCCCGAGTGTGCGAATAGAAAGACCAAAACAATGTCTGGGAGCGAAAAACCCGCAGTGAGAAATACAATTACAATACATTCGAGAATCCCAGAATGCCGCCCCGTAAACGCCATTAAAAGCCAAAAGCAAGTTTTGAACCGGCCGATTGCCGAGCCAGGTATAATATGCATCGAATGCTTGGGGAAGGGGAAGAGAGAAATGCGCCCCGAGGGACCCGTTCATCTTCATCGTTGTCATCATCGCCGTGTCATGGACATCATGCCGGTCAAAGCCGGCTTCCACCCGTAAACACCATCCCAGTTTGCCGCAATCTCCAAGGTTACCAGAACCCAACGCCAATTCATGCAGAACAACATGGACCGGTCGTGATCATCATCATCATAAGTGGTTAGTAAGTGGTCGGCCTGAGTCTCGTGGTCCGGAGGAGAAACTCAAGAACGAGGGCCAGGCTGGATGCCTCTGCGTGTCACCTAGGCACCAGAGACCTTGCGGGCTGTCGATGCCGCCGTGGCTGACGTTGCAGAGGTGCCTACGCTGCCAACACGGCCGCTCGTCTTGCGGACTCCATCCTTGGACCTCGGCGACTCGCCCGATCGCTTACTGCCACGAACCTTGGTGAGAATACCGGACGCGCTGCTGACTCTATCCACTTGCTTGACACGTGATGTTCCGAGGTTCTCGACATCGTTGCTGGCATCGTTGTCGATGTACGTCTGGTACACAGCGGCAGCCGAGTGACTAACTGAGCGCTTTTCACTGCGACCAGGCGACGCGGAAGGTTTCCGTTGCGAGCGCATGCGAAGGTGAATTTCTTCATCCGACTCGGCGCTATGAGAATGCTTGTGGACGGTAATGGTCTCGGCGTCTTGATGGATGCCCGTTTCTTCCTCGACAGTTGCAGTGTATGAAGTTGACCTTTGGTACGGGTGGTGGCGGTCTGCCCTGTTGGTCTTCCTCGGCTGGCCGGGAGTCGGCGCTGGGAGATAGTCTTCCTGAACCCCAATGTTATTGCGGTCGTGGTCGACTTCGCTCAGAGGCGTCCGGTTGGAGGTGCTTCGGTGCGGGGGCGTGGATGCTTGGCCGGCACGAATCGACGTCTTTTGCATGGCGCGGATCGGGGTGCTGGGAACAGTGGCGTTGGCGGCCATCTCCTTGCGGAGCTTGCGCTCGATGCGCTCTTCGATCCACCATTCACGGAAGATACCCTGGTTGATGTGAAGCCAGTGCTGCTGGGGGCCGACGACCATACCGGGGCGCATGAAGCGCATAAAGGCAATGATCTCGTTAGCCGTGAAGCCATGGCGGTAGATGAGGTATGCACCAATGAGGCAGCCTGTTCTTCCGAGGCCGGCCTTGCAGTGGACAGCGATGCCTTTCTTCTTGACGGTGATGGTCTCGTGTGCCAGTCTGATGAATTTGCGAACGGTGGTGAGAGGTGGGCAGGTGCCGTCGTCGAAGATCATGTCGAGATGAGAGATGCCCATTGACTCGAAGAAGGAGGGGGAGTATAGAGGCGAGTTGAGACGAACAACGAGGCCAATGTTTCTCTCGGTGAAATGCTTCAGAACGTTCTTAAAGGGCTGGGGAAGCGTCTTGTTGGCATCCAATTGGCCGAGCGACTTGGGAAGCGCATCAAATTCCTCAGTGCCTTCGAGGACCTTGGCAACGGGTGTATGTTGGGGCGAGGCAAAGGCAAGGAAGTGTGGCGTGATCCAGTTGAAGTCTCCGTGCTCCACTCTCTCAAACTTCTCATACTCGTCGAGGTCGAAGTTGTCGAGGGCGCAGCAGCCCTCCTCCTTGGCCTTCCAGACGCCGTAGACAACATCTTGGACGGTGATGCCGTAGTCGGCCTGGGAGTATCCAGCGTCGCGGAAGGGCATCAGAGGTGGGTCGACTTGAGCGATGGGGGCCAGGGCCAGGTGCGGGGGCCAGTTCTGAATGAGGACCATGTAGCAGGCGAGCATGCAAGCAGCGTTGGCGCGACCTTGTGAACTGTTAGCTGGGGTGTTCCCATGTCAACTATGTGATAATGCGACTCACTTCTGGGGTCGGCTCTGCTCCAGAAGACGATTGGGCGATCCTTGTTCTCCTTGGCACCGAGGACGTCATGGAACTGCAGGGCGAAGCGGTACAGGTGGCCAATGTGGAGCGGGCCAAAGTCGTGGTGGAAAGCATTGTACAGGAGTGTATCGTCGACGGTGAAGTAGTACGGTGTTTGACGGGCGGCGGTCTGGACGGGTGTCGGGCCTTCGGCGGCTCTCTGTGATCGCTTTCTAGGTGAAGACTGGGCAGCTTCGCCGTAGGGGAAGATGGTCTCGGCCGTGGGCGGGTGAATGTAGGCGGCCAGATACAGGCGGTCTGGAAGCCAAGTTAGAATTGAGACCGGGAAGAAGGCGCAAAAGAGGTAGGGATGAAGCTGGGGTAAGGCATAGTTGAAGCTGTCGCATGTTGCGCTCACGTCGGCTTGCCGCGAGCGAGGCGATTGAGACGGCGCAGGATAATGATGCGACATGATTGCGATGTTGGGGGCGGGCAAAACGCACGATTTGGGAATTGGAAGAGCACGCGCAAAAACTTACCTGGGATGTATTCAATGACCTGGCCCATGTTGGCACTCTTGGATGAAGGCGCCATTGGGACTTGTGAGTCTCTGTTTCCTCTCTGAAGCTATTCTCCGGTTGAGATTGGGAGGAGGCAGTTGCTCTCGGCGCTGGAATTCAAGATGCAACTTGGAGGAGGTTGGGGACTGGGGGGGTCGAAATGATCAAGGCAGGCGCCGAGATTATCCAGAGGCAAGGCTACTCCTTTGTATGCACAGTAATGCGCGCGCAAGGGAACTCGGGAAGGCGGTCCCTGGGAAAAGTGTCGTGCAGCAAATGGGTGCGGGATTGTGAGCTGGGTTGAGGCAGGAATGTTGAAATGGCTGGTCTGAAACAATAACAACAACAAGTAGCTACCGTACAACTCTTTGGTTTCGATGTTTTTTTTTCGGTCTGACCCAAAAAGCTGCGACGCCCTTGCGGAGAATAGGGAAGGAAGTGCAAGAAAACAAGCAACCCGACTCAAGGGAGATGTGATGCTTCAAGGGCGGACAAGACAATTGCCGGAGTCTATTGGGAAGATGAGGTAAAAGGAAGGTATTGCGAAAGCGCAAAGGAGACCGAGTGACGGTGTTTTTGTATGGTTTGCTGTGTGTTTTGCTCCAAGCGGTCAATATGGGGCCGGCCCAAAACAGCAAGGGTCGGTTGTTGTTCCCTTAGCCTTCTGTGCAGTGTGGCGCCCCCCAAGTAGCCCCCCTGCACCACAGCGACCGCTGTGCTGTGGTGTATTCTGGCCCTGCTCATCCAGTCTTGTGCTGGCTGCCGGGCTGCCAGGTTCGTTGTCACGACAACCTGCCAGGGGGAGCACTGACCAAGTGCGCCTCCTGACGGATGGATCGAACCGTCCCATTGGCTCACAACGCCTGAGGCAAACGCACCCGCCTCAGATCCCGCTTAGCTTACCACCGAGACTACCACCTTACCGTGGGTAAACAGGTACCAAGTATCTTCCCTTTACCATGGAAACTAAACCCTTTGCAGCATCTGACGGCTGTTAACCACCGCTTGCGCAGCCCATGCGCAAAAGAAATGCCCCCTTCCCTTCTCCAGGTTCCATCGGATTATTCCAACAATAACAAACCATCAAGGCACATATGATGGGCAACCGTCTCCGCATGAACTCGTTCTAGGCTTCCCAGGTTGCTTATCGGGCGGCATTGCATCAGACAACATGTGCTGCTGCACCAGCCGCCAGGGCAACCCCACGTTGCGCGTCTCCTCCCTCTGTGGACTCTTGAACTGTGGACTGCCTACCTTCTCGTCTACGAATACGGGATAGGTATGGAACAACACACACATCATCCATCCCAATGGAACCAATAGAACATGTGTTCAAGTCAAAGAGGTCACCAAGTCACCTTGGGGACGGCCCGAGAGCCCTTGTGCGTGTGCGTTGGCTACATTGCTTGATTCTGTCGTGTGTCACATTTGACCCTAGAATGAGATGCCGCCGTGGAAACAAGCCCGTGGAATGGCGGGGCACTTTGCTACGTGCTACGCAGTCACACTATCCTCTTTTTTCCTCGGTCCTCCAAGGTTTGTGCTCACCTCATGTTTCCGTCCCGCTGTCCCGCTCATTGTTTGGTTTCTTCAAAGTACGGAGCAAGGTACGTCACTTTGTAGGCAAACCTGTGTTTGCCGGCCGGACAGGAATTTCTTGCGCCGCCAATGACGATTTTGCCTTCTTTCTCTGCTTCGTCTCAAGTTCCTTTTCCGAAAGATTTCCATCTACTCCACCACAGAGCCGCCGCGACAGCGCAACAGCGACGGGGCTTTCCCATTCCTGTCCGCCTTACCTCACTTACCTAAGATAGTCGACCTATCTATCTATCTATCTATCTCGATTTCACCCCTACCCCTCCATCCACATCCCACCTCCAAGCGCAAAACGCTCCCCCAGCGCCAGAAATCCCCAACCATGGCTGTCCACAACACCATTGACCAAGAGTTCCCCTGCTCATTGTAAGCCGCCTTACTCAGATCCCGCATGGGCCCCCTTTCTTCTTCTCGTATTGTACCGAAAGCTGAGACAATCGAAACGATAGAACAATCAACATCCCCTTCCCGACCCCGCGCCTAGCCACCGTCGCGCACAAAGCCCTCGTCGTCGACCAAGAACTGTCTCCCCTCGTCCGCCGCACATTTTCCATCGACTCCGACTCACCGAGCGATGCCGGCGCCGGCGCCGACGCCGACGCCGCCTCCGTCCTTCGCGTACACTACAAAGCCACCACGAACCGCATGCTTCGCGTGGCCGTCAATGGCCTGATGGAGAGCCTGAACCTCGTTGTCGAGGTCATGGAGGAGTTGGACGTTGATGTTCTGGAACACAATCGGGCCTCTTCGCAATAAGGGGATCGAAAAAAAGAGGAAGAGTGTGAGAGAGAGTGAGTAATCAAGAGGAGGAAAGAAGAGAACGATTGCTACTCGAAGCATGGTGATTAGCAAGGAGCAAAAGAAGCTTCCGCTGAAAATATGGGATAAGAGAGCGGAAACGCAGTCGCACGCGACGGGAAGCGAAGACGGGAAACGATGCATCATGACTTCATGTTTTACATTTTTTGTGATACCCTAGAGTACATAGCCACATGATATGTGACATGATAACAAGGTGCCAATACTCCCTCTGTCGAGCTCTAGTCTAGATTTTGCTTCTAGATTCTCCTGAGCCTAATACCTTAGCATCAGGCGTGTGCCTGTGGTGACCCCTGAATGCGGCCAGATACATCCAAAGTGGCAGGACATACTTCCTAACGGCTATACAATTCCAGATGTCCCTCTATGCCCTCTCAATTATTAATTCATATATCATGCCCGCCCAGCCTCTTGATCGATAAGTTGTCTCTGTAGCCCTCAAGACCATCATTATTTATGCGCTCGTCTAGCTCTTCACCGTCTCCTTCTGCTCCAGAGACTTTTCCTTGAGCTCCAGCTTCTTCTCCGCCTCTTCGGCTCGCTTGTTGGCATCGGCAACCTCCTGCTTGAGCTGCTTAATATACTCAATAGCCAGCTCAACGGTGCTGGCCTTGCTGTTCGGCGCCCCTCCAGCCTTGGCCTCTTTTTCCCTTTCTTTCCTCTCTTCGCTTTCGCTCTTGGTCTCCTTTGGCGGCTGCGGTAGCAGCGTCGCAATCTCCTGTAACGCCGAGTTGATTCGGTTGCGGCGGCCCTGTTCCGCAATCTTGTGGGAAGTGCGTTTTGATGTGAGGTTGGTTGACAGTTCGCTGGGATACGTCACACCGGGCACGGTATTGCCCTCAAGGATGTTCTGGTAGTTGGACTTTGACATTAATAGACGAGATGCCGTGTCTTCGGCGGACATGCCACCGGGGGTTCCTGGTAGAAGCGGCTTGATGCTAGGAGATATTCTTGGCCGCAACGCAGGCGATACGTGTACCGAGCTCACGCTTCCCCTCTTGCTTTGGCTTCCCCTGGCCAACAGTTTGGGCGTTTTCCGCGCCGATGGACCTGAAGACCCAGGAGCAAGGTTCGGGCTCGCGCTCGCTGACGCCGCAGCGGTGGGTTTGGCAAATACAGGGGAAGGGAGCGGCTGGAAGGAAGAACCCGTAGCCGTGCCAGGGTCCAAAGGCGATTGAGTCGGCGTTGATGTGTCCAGTCTAGGGGGTTTCGTTTTTGAAGAAGAAAAGTTTACGGACTCGGGCAACTCGAACGATTCGATGTGGTCTGATGGGCCTAGATCGAGAGGATTTGATGAGGCGGAGTTGTTTGCGCTGGAAGCAGGGAGCTTCATGAGAGAAGCCGGGGTGGCAGGAGACGGCTTCCCTTGAACGTGAACTGGAATCGCAGGATGAGGCTGGGGCTGAGGTTGAGGTTGGATAAAGGGTGATTTGCTCGATTGCTTCTGTTGCGGAAGAGGCGGCGGGGGCATATCTGACAGGTTCTCAGGCGACACTGACGCATTTTCAGACTCCTCGCTGCTCATCGGGGCTGGCAGAGCCGTCGAAGGAAGCATCTGATCCAACCCATCCTCGTTCACCTCGCGCATCTCCGAGAGAGCCTGTGATACCATCTTCGGCGTGGGCGTTGCCTTTTTGCGCTGGGGTTTTGAGATCGGCGACTGTCGCACACTAGATTTGGCCTTGGCTCTCGAGGCGTTGGTTTTGCGAGCCTTCTTTGATAAATCTACCACCGGCTGTTGCGTGGTTGTGGTTTCAATGTCCATCTCGGCTGGTGAATTGTGGTTTGAGAGGGACGATCGGCGGTCGTAAAGCAGTCCCTGATCGCTTTGCGCGTGCAATGCCGGTGAGGTAAGAGGGCTGAAGTATGCGCCTGGAATTGTGAATCCGCCGGCTTCCATCTGGAAATGAGGATCCAACGGTGTTACAGCTGGTGAGACCAAGGGAGTGAAAGCCATCTACTACGTTCAGCTTAAGAGGTTCAGCGTACTGTGAGGGGGATCAACTCTTACATCTTGCTGCTCCTTCATCCTTTGATACCTGCTGCCAAACATGGGCGTCTGGCTTTGGTCGTTTGAGTAGAACTGGTTGCTGGCGGGCGGCATTTCGAGACTCTGGGGTGTAGGGGGAACAGCGTGTGTCTGGCTAGCGTAGTATGCGACCTGCTGTTCTTGTATCTGGCGATGTTGCTGTTGCATCCTTTGCTGCTGTAGGTACTGAATCTGGGCGTCGATTTCAGTAATGGCATCGGTTGACGTCGACGGGGGAATCATTTGAGTCTGTATAGCAGGGTGCGCGGCGGCCGTTGTCATGTTGATAAGCTGCGCTTGCATGGCAGAGGTGGTAGCTCCCATGAGCATGGATGTGTCGGTTCCTCCCATCTGAGTGTCGAGCTGCTCGCGACCAGGCTGATGCATGATGCCGGTCCCGTTGCCAGTCTGATAGTCGTTGAAGTCGAAAGGCATCGCATCGCTGAGGTTCCCCATCCCACCCAAGTCCAAGAATTGCTGAAACTCCTCATCGTGGCTTGGTGCCATGGCCGGGTCCTGGGGGTTCCAAGAGGCGGCGTCCATCATGGCTACACCGAAGGTTGCAGCTCTGGTTCGGAGAATTTCAAAGCCCGAATTGCAAATGGCGCTGTCGTGGGAACACCGTCGAGTCTTATGCGCTTCCTTTTTGCGGGATCTTGTTCGCAATAACCAGATCAATAAACTCGATTGGCGTGGTCGTAGGTCGATAGCGACAGTTGTTGGAGTATGTCGGGTCGAAGTAGGTGAGAGAGGCCCGGTAGGTTGCGCATAAGGCACGGCTTGTCGAGGGGTTCTGTTCGAGGTGCGTGGGGAACACGGGATGAAAATGTGCCGGGCGCAAAGTGTAGAGCGCAGTGCCTCGCGCCGAATGTATTCGGTGGGAGACTTCGCTCTCTCGATGCCAAAAAAAAACTCTAAAAAAACTCGCTTTGGGTAACCTTTAACGGAGTGATGGACGAGGTTGAAAGATGGTATTGGAAACACGAAAACCTGTCTCTCGTGGTGGAGAGAGAGAGGCTGGAGAAAACGAGCCGACGGAGCTGAGGGACTGAGAGGCAGTGGCAGTGGCAGCGGCAGCGAGCAGATGATAATGGTGGGAATGGTGGGGGGAGACACACCTACTGCGTACATAGGTACTGTTAGTGCACTAGAGAAGGAGGTGGGACGGGGTCGCATTCAGATGGATGGATTGCCATTGGCAGCCGGTGAGTGGTTAATGAGCCCGTGGACACATTTTTGTTTGCGTACCTTGGACTGGCAGACCCAAGCTTTGCGTCGATAATCGACTGCTTCCTTGCCCAGGACAAGGATGACAAGTGAACTGGCCCGTGCCCGGCGCATTCATGCTTCCAAGGACTCCCCAGTACAGGGATTTTATTGTGTGGTTACTGTTGAGCTATCCGTAACTGCACTAGGTTTTTGTAAATTGGTCGAACCGACCGACACGCGGTTAAATTGGGAAACTGAAAAATACACAGTATGATAATCGTCACTCCCGTACTCAAGGACGCTACCCGAACCACCTTGCCGACGGCAACAAGTCATGTTGGCGGGTATTACCACCAGCGACTCTCGCGAGCACCTTCAGATCTCGGATCGTCAGCAGATCGGATGAGGTCACAGGACAAACCTGAGCATCGCTTCTATGAATACCCAATATAGCAGCCAGGTAAAGTATCTTTGCGCTAAAGGCGCAGTCGAAGATTGTTCGCTGCGAAACAGTTGCCCAACACGGTTTCATGTCCGATTACTTACCTACTGTCCGGGAATATCCGCCTTCGCATCAAGCACTGTCCGAACCCTCGGGCAATGCCCAGTGTAAACTACGAAGTAAACAAGCATTTCCTTACATCTAGTTAGACCATTCCATATCTCCGGAGACAACACCACGAGGATAATTACCTTAGGCTACTATACAGTTCCGCACCGCACTATGTATCTACTCCGTACACATCTTGACCAAGTTCTACTTGCCTGCCACTATCCCAGGGGTCTTTTGTCTGTGCTCAACCTGACCCTGTCCGACCTTCTCCACGAGACAAGAAACCTCTATTCTTTCAAGTTTCAACTGACAACAGTGGAGATATTACACTATTTCCAGATGGCCCCTCTCGGACTCGGAATGATTGTCGGGGAAACCGTAACGTGCAATGGCTGGTATTTTCTCCCCAACCATCGCACTCACCCAGCCATCATCCCACGACTTCCCAGTCACGGTACTGGAGAGTTCAATAATTAAGACGGGACGAGGGGAGAAATTTTCTCACCCGATGTCTTTTTACGGATTGGCGCTCCGATCACACCGAGGCCTTGAGCGAGAGATTAACTTAAAGTGGGTCCGGACCCTCATCGGCAACGGCGCCGGCGCCGCGCCACGCAAGTTCGTCGGAAGCGAGCTCGAGCTTTAACCGCTCCAAGCCCAAGACTCTCGCTGTTGCTTCCATACTAAGGAAACCTTGGGATGCCAAATGCCAGGTGAGGTATGGTACAACTTCCTAACCGCCCAGAAGAGTCAAGAGACATCCCCCAGCTAAGCCCATCACGACAGACGTCAAAACCGACAGCCCAGGCAGAGTGGCACTCTCTAGCCAGCAGGCGGAGTCATGTTCCACACTACGAGTTCGTGACTCGTGAGCTTGTCAGTTCGGGTCCCATCTCGGATCTCCGACTTCGATCCTGACAGGCGCTGTAGGCCCGTAGTGCGGTTATTTAATATCCAGCCCGGAATCGGTGCTGCACTGCCTGCAAGTCATGAGCGATTATGGGACCAGAAACGGGGTCAGACGAATAATGCAACCTGTCGCCTTTGGTTTAATTTGGATGACCGGTAGTTGGGTACTGCGGATTGACGTTAGGCCCGGGTTGCAGTCGTATTGGTCTCCCAAGTCCAGGGTCCAGTGAGATCGATGAAGAAGAACCTCGCCATCAAGGGATGTCCTTGTTGCTGGTTTGGGTTCTCACACGAGCTGCTCACGTTACCGAGCGACGGCTGGAGTTGCCCCCTCTCTGCATCTGCTCGCCCCTCTACGGATGCCTAGGTAAGTATTCAAAGTCACGTTGTAAGGATACTGTAATGGGGAACGGCGTTTGGTCTTTCTATCCCAAGAACCTCACCCAGGACCCTCTGGCAGGTGTCACGATGTATACCCACCTTGACCTCTGCTCTGTCTTAAGCTGTGATGGTTTGAAGATGAAAGAACTCTCTCACTCAACGCAGGCATAACCTCGAATGGAAGTCGTTAGGTAACGGAGGTTCTAGAACACCACCGTTAATGTGCCTCGTCGTGGGGGTTGAAGGGCGGGGGCCGAAGGTGCAGATTCCCGAGTGCAACCATAATTATGTCAGCTACTAGCACTTTGCTGCGCCACACCCGGACTTAGCTAAGCTTACTCCGCATCGCACTGCCATGTTGTGGCTAGAGAAGATGGGTTGGCCCAAGCTTAGGTTTGGTGGCTGGATATCACGTGAAGGCCCTCCTGACTCTCCATGTCGCGAGAGTGTCGCATAGGTACCGTACTTTGTGAATACATGGCTCGAACGACTGTCATCGCTGAATCATCCTTGCCATTCATGCCAAAAAAAGACCAGAGACGTCCGGTATGAGTAATGAAGACCTCTCGGAAGCGTTCATGCGGCAACCCAGGTCGCACAAAAGATATCGAGGACCTGTCATGGCTACTAAATGCTAGATGTAGTAAGTAAGAGCAGCCTGATGAGGGGAAGGAAATTGAAGAGTATCGTCAGAATTCATTAAGGGCATTATCGTCAGTAAAACAACATCTAAATGAATGGAAGCCAATATTTGTTCAAAACTCGATAATTTGGGCGAACAACTACGCAGTAGGTACGATGCACGAAAAGGTAGCTTGCTTGCTTGCTACCTAGCTGCTGCCCGCCGCTGCCCGCCGACCCACTACTTACTTGAGCGGGCTTACAGCTGAATGGTCGACGGGAAGCAAGCATTCGAGTGGGTGCTCGCTCGGTCTCACCCAAACGGCAAACCAAAACACTCCTTTCCCCTCAGCTCCCGCCCCCTCCCCCTCCACTTCACCTTGTCGCTCCCGTTCTCCAATTGTTCGGCCGCTTGCTTACCTTAGCTCTGTCCCGTCACGTCTCTGCACTCCTGGAGCTACCTTGCAGTACCTTATTACTATGGCACAAGCTCAACCATCTAAACCCGAAACCCAAAACACCATACACCTGTATACCCGCCCGGGCCCAGGTATATAATCCGATCTCCCAAGATCCTGTCACAATCCATTACCGACACCTGCCATCCCACGCTTAATTGAATCCTCGAATACCCCAACCATGAATTACGGTCATCAGCATCCCAATGGCGGCTACCATCCCATGCCGCCTGGTCATCCCGCGAACCAGATGCCCCAGCTTCCTCCCATGGGATATCCAGCACCAGCGCCTTTGCCATCTAACATGCCGCCCAATATGCCGCCCAACGGAATGCCCATGCAACATCAACATCACCAACCGCCTCCGCCCCCTCCAGCCCAGGCCCCTGTGCCAGCCTCCATTTCAAAAACGGATGATTTGGGTAGGAAATACGAGTACGTCGCGGGCTTCTTGCAAGGCACCAAAACACTTGGACTAACGATGCGATTGCCAGGCTCGTCGTTGTGCAGCAGCCTCAGCGAGCGCGAATGTGCGGATTTGGTGACAAGGTACGCTCATATATGCAGTTTCTACGACTCGCAAATCCCACTAACAATTCCCCCAGGATCGCCGGCCGATTACCCCTCCTCCGTGTATCAAGGTCGTCGTGCGAGATGCGAAGACTGGCCAAGAAATAAACCCAAAGTACGTGCGGCGCGACGAAACACGGCATCTTTGATTTGCTGTACTAACCTTGGCGGACAGCGATATCGATTCGGCCCATTACATTATTCAGGTTGACTTGTGGTCAGAAGATGGCACCCAAGAGGTGAACCTCGTCCGTCACTCTTCCAACACGGCTTCGATATCGACCACACAGCCTTACTCGTATACGGCGCTGCGCGAGGACCCCATGAACCCACCGCCAGCACAGCCTTACCAAGATATGCAACCTTACGGATCAGCGCCCATGGGATACGGGCAACAACCGCCGCCGCCCCAGCCCCAGCAGCATATGATGCCAGGCTACGGCATGGCAGCTGGATCCAACTATCCTCGTGAGTCTCCCGACGACGTGATTGCTCTGTTCTTCTAACGTACTGACTCGCGGTGCAGAATACCAGTCAACCAATTCTCGGTTTGCGCCGGCAACTCAGTACTATCCGCAACACGCCAACCCCGGCCCAGTGCCCTCACAGGCGGATATGGCGTACGGCCACCGCCAGTCGCTATCCATGGCAGCGAGCCAGCCCCAAGGAATGTTTACGAGAAACATCATTGGGAGCGTGAGTTCTAGTGCCTTCCGCCTCAACGACGTAGACGATCAGGTCGGTGTTTGGTTCATCATGCAAGACCTGAGCGTAAGGACCGAAGGCCACTTCAGGTGAGTTTCTCTACGCGATCCGATAACTCAGTAGCATGACTAACCCGA